ACGCACTAACACACCTATTAATACACAACTGCGTATCTTAACAGTCACTTTGTTGTTGTTGCGCTAAACCAGTGCGAGTCGTACACAGCCTTGAGAATGAGAGGTAATCAAGTTTTATCCAAAGAGGAGAACAACTACATATGCTTGAATCAAGTACCTTACAGCATCATCAAAGTTTGAAAAGAAGTTAGTTGACCTGTGTCGCCATAGGTAGTAGGCCGGTAAATTGTTATGCTTATTTACTAAGTACGTATGGGTTATTCGGTACAAGGAGTGGTGGAGGCTATCAGTCGTCCGTTAATCATGGTCTGTCAGGGTGGCTGACAGTAATCACTGAGAGGTACTTTCGTTATCATGTATTAAAGTTTCTTGTGTTACCTACTCAGGTGGCACGTATGCTACTCTTTTCCTTCTGTCTCGCCAGTATTTTAAACATGTCACGTAAATCTCTCCAAGTTTACTTACATTCAATACAATACACACTTTTTTCCCACCTGGTTTCTTAATACTTCCTATTCCAGTAATATTTTCGTTGCGATTTAGGAGGCTTGACGTGGAGTGTTGAGGGCAGTAGACAGTGACTGAGGCAACCATTAAGATAGATAACAATTAAGAGAGAGTAATACGAGTGTGTAGGCCATCACGAGTTGTGAAGGCCTAGGTGAATGATGGTGGAGAGGTGCGCCTCCAGTGTGGCGCCGGTATGACGCACAAGAGTCAATATCAGCTGGTGCGAGGGATCAACGACCCCCAGTGTTGTGATGCCAGCAGCCAACTACACTCCACCTAACACCATAGGCACTCGCAAGTACGTCTATGGGCAATGTCATAAATGAAACGCACTAGAAGTGAAAGCAAACATACTAAAAATCTTCGAGAAGAATTAAGATATGACTCGGGAGGCCAGAAATCAATGAACCTCGTAGATAATATTTAAGAGGTGGGGTCAGAAGCCAAGATTCAACCCCCTACCCTGAAAACTAGACGAGAGTCTATACAGCCTATGACACGCACACACAAGGCAACCTGACACGTTCCTTGAGTCAGTTCCTCATCAGTCGAGTGGGACAGCTGGCTGTCCATCATACACTCCCATTAGAATGAAAAAGTAACGAGTCTGGGTTAACAAGAGAGAGTAATACTTCTCGCTGATTAAATGAACCTAATGAAAATGAGAGAGCAGTCTATTCATGAAAATGTAGATAGGATGCTGATGTAGTCCAAATGGCTGTTGGAGAGCAATACAAATAAATATGTGTAAGGTCATGGATGCTGAAGGAGCAGGAAGACAACAGAGTAACACTTTGGAGGTAAATATCACAATAAACATTACAGGGGCACACATGAATCTAATATGTGTAAGGAGGTATATTTTCTTTAGTTTCAGGATGAAAGCAAATGCAATATACAGTTTCAAAAGCAGGCATTATCATGCCTGCTTTTAAGGTGGTCAGTCCCTCAGCCAGACTGAGGGACTGACCACCTCAAATACTATTTCTCCAAGGTTGATGGACTGATTATATCGAATATGGATCTGCCTTCTTTTCTCATCGCATCGCCAAATGCTTCAAACTTCAGAACACTCGTGACATGACCTACCTTTACCTCCTCTCCCTATTCTTCACCTTTCCTATATTTGCACTGTATTTCCTGTCTTCTGCGTAGGTGGGTTGTGCTCTAGGTGGGTCTTGTCATACCCCTGCAAGACAGTAGCTCTCCTGCAGTGCTCCTCTGTACTCTTGTTCCAAAAGACTACCTCCAATATGACTACTATTTAGCTAACACTCCATTTTCGGTCCATTTTTTGACTACCACTCCCACCTTCTTATTACTACCGTCATCAGTGCACTACTTCTACTGCTTATACAATATTATTCTCCTTTCCCCACGTTTTATATATTCTGGCTCCCTTCCCTCCGTCCTTCAGTGTGTTTAGTTAATGGTTCAGGTCGGACCAAAACGTAGTCATAAGTTTCATTCTCCTTTGTGGTGCGGGTTATTTGTGTACTGTTCCAGTCATGTAATGTTCATTTTGTATTCTTTAAGAGAGAGAGAGAGAGAGAGAGAGAGAGAGAGAGAGAAGAGAGAGAGAGAAGAAGAGAGAGAATGGATTATAATAGTCACTATATAATAAAATTAATTGGTTGTCATTGTTATCTGAGAGCAGACTGTGTGTGTTCGCTCAGATGAAACGTTTTCCCTCTGAATATTTTACACTTTCCACACCTCACCTTCACTCTCCGGCGTCACTCCCTCTCACCTCACGCAATAAATGACGGCACGGAACCCCCCCCCCCCACACACACACATAGCTTCAATCGTGACAAGTTGTTAAGACACATTAGGGACTGACCACCTCAAATGCTATTTCTCCAAGGTTGATTGACCGATTACCTCATCTTTTGTATATAGTTCTACAGTCTTCACAGTATGCCCTTGCATTGTACTGATGAAGCCACTGGCGAAACGTCTACAAATAAAAATACTCAACTGTTGCGCATGTGTAATTCTTCATCGACAAACTACATTCGTTGTTTTCTGAGTAGACATCATGGAGTTGAAGACGCCAGAAACCAGTGATGACACTAAGAGGCAGAGTCAGGAGCTATGCCTCTACGCAGTGCATGAGAACACTGGGTGTTCCCGCAATGTAATTGTTACAAAAGAGTATAGCAGCACACTAAGGGTGTTCCTCACTGCACCACTAACCCCCCCCCCCAACCCCTACCACTGCACCACCACTGGAGTCAGTAGCAACTTAAGTAGGTCAAGGTCGTCCTGGGGGGGGGAGGTCCACAAGGAAAGAGGTGGATTGGGGGGGGGGGGCTAGTGTGAGATGAAGGTGAGTGAGATACGGAGGAGGAAGTGAAAGATGGAAGGAGTTTAGGGTACGAAGGAAGGAAGAGATGAAGGATTGAGAGAATACTAGGAGGAAATAGAATATATTAGAGTAAGATACGGATGTGATTTATCATGGAGGGTGAGAGAATACTGATGTCCGCTGATCTTAGGGAGTCATCACAAGATAAATCATTCCAGGTTAAGAGCTGTTATCCTACCTCAACTCACTTCAAAACCCGGCCCTATCTGAGGTATATTACCACCCCCCAGGATGCCACCCACACCAGTCGACTAACACCCAAGTACATACTGACTGCTAGGTGAACAGGGGCAAAAGGTTTAAGGAAACACGCCCAATATTTCCACCCGTACCGGGGATCGAACTACAGACACTCAGTGTGTGAGCTGAGTGTGCTACCAACCGGACTACAGGACACTGGTACGACCCAAGAGACTAAATATCAGTAAAACAAGGCATCTGAATTCTGAAGTCTACCTGGAGTGTATTCCGGTGATCAACGCCCCCGCGGCCCGGTCCACGACCAGGTAGGGTCAAGAGACATACCTCGACCCCTGCAACCACTACTAGAACAGGCAGCTTGAAGCGGCAGCGTGGGGGAGTATCTTGTCATAAGTGATCATCTGGGAGGCAACTAGGTGAGTGAGCCATTATGACAGTAATGGTGACTGAGTCAACCACAAGCACTTTCCCACACCTGGACCACCCTCACTCCTTACCACCCATCTACCCTAGGACACCCTCACTCCTTACCACCCATCAACCCTCGGACACCCTCACTCCTTACCACCCATCTACCCTCGGACACCCTCACTCCTTACCACCCATCTACCCTCGGACACCCTCACTCCTTACCACCCATCTACCCTCGGACACCCTCACTCCTTACCACCCATCTACCCTCGGACACCCTCACTCCTTACCACCCATCTACCCTCGGACACCCTCACTCCTTACCACCCATCTACCCTCGGACACCCTCACTCCTTACCACCCATCTACCCTCGGACACCCTCACTCCTTACCACCCATCTACCCTCGGACACCCTCACTCCTTTCCACCCATCCACCCTACCACCCCCACTCCCAACGTCCATCCACCCACCCTCCCGACCCACCAATCACCCTCCCGCCTCCATACCCACCCACCCAGCCTACCTCCCTGCCTCCCGTGGGCAAAGCCTCCCCCCAACCCTCCCTGTGATATCTATTGGTAACAGGTTTAAGTCTTGAACCGCAGTTATCAGTGTTGTCTTATTGTGCCCAGTGTGTTCCTGCTTTCATTGTGTATTTTGCATTTCCATATCTCTCATTGCAGTACGGTATTTTTCTTGTTTTGAAGGTTCTCTTTATTGGCTCCGTCGCGACCTTTGCCTCATCGTGTTTCCTAAACGATTGGTATAATAATGGGAAGTGGAAAAGAATCCTTCCTCCATAAGCCATGCGTGTCGTAGGAGGTGAGTAAAATGCTGGGAGCAAATCACTAAATGTAAGAAGAAAATTTTTTTTAGGTCACCTTGCCTCGGTGGGAGACGGTCGCTACGTTAAAAAAAAAGTCAGATGACCTACCTAGGTTTTCGACATGTTGCTTTCCTTCCGTGATTATAATTTTGATCATGGGGGAGCGCTAAAACTCGTAGGGATTATACAGCGCCTGTGGATGGGGAGGGGGGTGGAAGGCATTCAGACTTAATTCAGAGAATTGGAGCACAGATCCAATTCCTTATATTAAGAGCCCCCTCACCAGCATCAAGGAACCACTCTTGAGGGGCTTCTGTGATATGGTCCTCGTGTGTGTTTTATATACACACACAGTTTCGAGTCCCTCATTCTTTCCATATCCGAGCAGTTGCAAGTCGTCATCACTACGGGTGTCCCGTAGCTCGATCACTAACGCACTCACCTCACACACTGAGGGCCGGAGTAAGAATCTCCTCCAGTACGGCTGGAAAACATTAGGGACGTGTTTCCATAAGACACCTGCTGTTCTTGTTCACCCATTAGTAAAATGGGTACCTCGGAGTTAGTCGGCTGGTGTGGGTTGTATCCTGGGACAAAACTGACCTAATTTGTCAGAAATGCTCTGCTTAACAAGTATCATGTGGGAGTTCGAACACGTGGATTGGGTAAAAATACTCACGTAGGCTGGAAGTACGTATATTGTAACTGAAGTATGTGGAAGGGCGCCACAGCCGAACCTGCCTCTCTCTGCCCCTTGGCTAGACTGACAGAGGAGTGCCCATGGGCGAGGGGGTGCTTGAATCCTGCTAGGTCAGCAACAATATGAATACAGACAGTGACTCAGGCAGAGACGGTTGGTAGTGAGTCATCTACTGGAACACTGGTTACTGGTAACTGGTTACTACTACTGAGACAAGGAGTTTTCTATATAGTAGTATGTCATTGATGTCAGCTAGACCTGTACACCATGTATATGTAGTAAATAATTATTACTACTACTACTAAACAAGTCATTTTCTATCGTCCACTGGAAGACCTTGATATACCGTGTTCACCTATATATGGGCCCCTAGTCGTACCTTCTACCCACTCCCAAGAGGAAACTGGGCAAATATCTTCACCAGGTGCCAGATCAACCGGGGTCTGGTGGGCATGTGGGTCAGCGGGCCACCAGTAGCAACAGCCTGGTTGACCAGGCAAGCACCAGACGAGGCTAGCAAAAGGCCGGGCTCTGGGAATAGAAAAAAACTCTCGGAACTCATCAAAGGCATATCAAAGATATGCTTATTTTGTATTGTTCTCAGATGATGCAAAACTATGTACCTGACCAGCCGGGCTGTGGCTCGTACGTTGGTTTGCGTGCAGCCAGCAGTAACAGCCTGGTTGATCAGGCTCTGATCCACCAGGAGGCCTGGTCACAGACCGGGCCGCGGGGGCGTTGACCCCCGGAACTCTCTCCAGGTAAACATAAGGGAAATTACCAACACTCGGCTCTCTTTAAGAGAACACTGCCTTTAAGGGCAAATTTGAGTAGTTCCTCCAATCAGTTTCTGATCAGCCAGGCTGTGGTGCTTACACTGGACTGCAATGACAGTCCAGGCCATCCACCATGAAGCCTGGTCTGGGACCGGGCCGCAGGGCGGTCACCCTCCGGAATCGTCTTCAAGTAAACATGTCCAGCAACACAGTATAGGACTCGCCACAAAGAAACAATACCGGCCTCTAGGTGGAACAATACCGGCCTCTAGGTGGAACAATACCGGCCTCTAGGTGGAACAATACTGTTCCTTGTGCATGAGAAGTGGTTGTCAAGCCAGTTTGTACTTTATTAGAGGGCAAGGTGCCGTTAACGGGAGGGAGCAGTGCCGTTATTATCGCCGTTAAACAGGAACGGAGCCAAAACCGAGGGAGCCCCAAGTAATGTAAAATGTGTACACACATACTGTGTGCCTTTTAACAGTACGTACTTACATATATACCTTATACCCAATACGTTTATATTTCCACAAGGTCTACCTACCTGGAGGGCATTCCGGGGATCAACGCCCCCGCGGCCTGGTCCACGACCAGGCCTGAATTTTCTTACACGCAGGTATAAGGTGTTTTCTTACACACGATATGACAGGCCATCAGGACTAAGTTTTCAAACAATTTTTTTCTTGACGCAGTCCACAACAGTCGACTAATCGCTACCATACACGCTCCTAATTTTTATTTACTGCTAAGTAGAAGTAGTGGCCTCTTTATGGACCGGGTCGCGGGGGCGTTGATCCTCCAGGTATTCTCCAGGAGTGATGAAATTAAAGACATGTGCAACATCTGGGTATCTTTACTGTAGACGTTTCGCCATCCAGTGGCTTTATCAATACAAATTCCAGGACAACTTGAGACTACAGTCTATATACAGAAAATGAGGTAATTAGTTCCTCAACCTTGGAGTTGGTGCGAAGAGCACTGTAGTCGTAGAGATTCATACTCCAGGAGTGTAAGGAAACTTGTCCATGTGCTTCTCCATGGCAGAGGACGTGCCTGACGGAAGGGGTGTAGTAGGGCAGGGAAGGTGGTGTGTGTGGAGACCAGTATCCCAGCGGGAAGTCAATGATCGCTCAACAATGCTGAGTTGGGAAAAAGTTACAAAGGTCTGCAACCAAACTAGTCACAGAGCAAAGACGGAAGCACTACAACAGAATCTACAAGAATTTAATGTGGCAACACAATTGTCCTCAAAGATCTGTTAAGTTATATCATGGATTAAGTTAAGTTAGTCAGAGGTTTTCCATATGGTGTGTGACAAGATGTGTCAGGCCAGGAGAGAATCCTCTCTTACATCAGACACATGTGCAACACTTGGGTATCTTTACTGGATGGCGAAACGTCTACAATAAAAATACCCAATCTTTCATAAGTGTAATTATTCATCATTTTGCAAAGAAAAGTGGTGAAGATCAGGAGCTTAAGGTAAACAGTCCCTCAGCCTGGAGTCGATGTAATCAGTCCATCAATCTCTTCAAAGACTGAGGGACTGATTACCTAAAACTCTGATCGTCACCACTCTTCTTTGTACTAGACTGATGAAGCCACCGTGTGGCGAAACGTTTTCTCAAAGATACCCAAGTGTTGCACATGTATCTAGTTTACCAACTTATCGGTTCTCTGAACCATTTATCTAAAGAATCCTTTGTTGCATTACTTAAGTTATTTATGTGTATCAGTGAGTCACAGAGGGAAGTAAACACTGCCCTGACGCATGAGACGCGGGATTAACAGCTGTGACTCGACTTGTGTAAACAACTATTATAAGCCAGTAGTACATAACACTTGTCATTATGACGATTAAGATATGTGCAACACCTGGGTATCTTTATTCTTGAAACGTTTCGCCTACACAGTAGGTTCCTTCAGTCAAATATAAAGTAGGGGTGTGGTAGTGAAATAAAAATTATGTAATCAGTCCATCAATATTAGAGAAATAAACAGCATTTGAGGTGGTCAGACCCTTAATGACTTTCATGTAGCTGGTAGACTTTTAACCTAACGAACCAACTGCAGTAAGTACTACACTATTAACCCCCCCCCCCATTCCCAGCACCCATCTTCCCCACTATTTGTACTATCCCCCTTTCCCCCCCGCACCCTAATGGCTATATTTTCCGTTAATTTGAACAATGGCATAGGTGACAGAGCGAGGTTTGTGAGACCATTCCTCAACCTCCTCCCCCCAGCCTCTCCACTAACCACCACCACCTTCCTATTACCATTCCTCAACCTCCTCCCCCCAGCCTCTCCACTAACCACCACCACCTTCCTATTACCATTCCCCAACCTCCTCCCCCCAGCCTCTCCACTAACCACCACCACTTTCCTATTACCATTCCTCAACCTCCTCCCCCCAGCCTCTCCACTAACCACCACCACCTTCCTATTACAATTCCTCAACCTCCTCCCCCAGCCTCTCCACTAACCACCACCACCTTTCTATTACCATTCCTCAACCCTTCCACCACCAGCCCTAAATAAGACACTTACTTCCTCCTCTGACTTTGAATATTCATTTCTGGGATGGTGTATGTACACTTCTTCCCTGGGATGAAGTGTTGTGTACCCCTGGGATGGTGGAGTCTTCCTGGGATGGTGTACCCTTCGTCCCTGGGATGAAGTGTTGTGTACCCCTGGGATGGTGGAGTCTTCCTGGGATGGTGTACCCTTCGTCCCTGGGATGAAGTGTTGTGTACCCTTGGGATGGTGTACCCTTCGTCCCTGGGATGAAGTGTTGTGTACCCCTGGGATGGTGTACCCTTCGTCCCTGGGATGAAGTGTTGTGTACCCCTGGGATGGTGGAGTCTTCCTGGGATGGTGTACCCTTCGTCCCTGGGATGAAGTGTTGTGTACCCCTGGGATGGTGGAGTCTTCCTGGGATGGTGGAGTCTTCCTGGGATGGTGTACCCTTCGTCCCTGGGATGAAGTGTTGTGTACCCCTGGGATGGTGGAGTCTTCCTGGGATGGTGTACCCTTCGTCCCTGGGATGAAGTGTTGTGTACCCCTGGGATGGTGGTGTCTTCCTGGGATGGTGTACCCTTCGTCCCTGGGATGAAGTGTTGTGTACCCCTGGGATGGTGGAGTCTTCCTGGGATGGTGTACCCTTCGTCCCTGGGATGAAGTGTTGTGTACCCCTGGGATGGTGGAGTCTTCCTGGGATAGGAGAAAGTCTCCTACCTTGAGAGATTCATTTACGTACTTCCTCACTGTCCACTTCCTTAAACACTTGCATTTCCGTACTCGGTGTTTTGCCTGACCAGAATTTCTTGTCTCTGTCACCTAAAGCCTGACTGATCACATCCTGGGCTGTGTTTAGCAAACGAAGGATCAAGCATCCACCCCCTCTTTGTTCTTAATGAACCACGCTGGTTTAGCGAGTCATGTCTGTGCACCGGTTCCCAAGTGTTCATCTTTGTGCTGTGGCTTCATCAAGAAACAGATTTCACTGTGTCGTGTGAATAAAAATTTGCGACTTGTGCCTTTTTCTTAGTTTCGTTCACCAAGGACTATCAATTTATAAATTAATAAAGTCTATGGCGGACAAAAAGTCTTACCAATAAAATACCATAAACCGCTTATTGTTATTGACAAAATCATAACACGATTGTCAACAAATCACGGTACGGGTGAGGTTAGAACCCATGGCAAGAGAGTCGTAAAACTCCAGGCCAGTGCGTAAGCCCCTGGGCCAGCTGGCTACAGTAAGATTCATCCAATTAGACCCGTACCGTGGTCTGCATAGTGTGTCTTAGATGTGTATATTCAACCAGTGATACACACTGTCAGCATACGTGCCCCACGACTCATCCACTTGTTGCCAGTAGATGTAAGAAATATTGCCACAACAGCAAAGTTTTTCAAGTGGAAATAGGGCCTTTGCCTGCAACAAGTGCCAGAGTAATCAGGTGGTAATGGTTACGCAGACCTGTGGGACGTTGGCAACAAGTCTTGTAGACCCAGCCGTTAGCAAAACATCAGGCCGGGTTAGAGGCTACAAGAACCCCCAACACCAGTTACAGCCAATAACTCTAATCACGGAGGGGATCCCTGAATCTTGCCTATCGGAGGGGGGACAAAACCCTTTCCTAACGAAGGGGGAAGGGTTCCCCGACCCTTCCCTTAAGGGGAAGCAAAAGGAAGCTACAGAATTTACAAATGGATCATATATATCTGTCACTGTCTCACACACACACACACACACACACACACACACACACACACACACACACACACACACACACACACACACACACACACACACACACAC